ACTGAGTATAATCCTTCAGGGGAAAAAATGGTCATTCAGTGAAATAGAGGACTTTCAAGCATCTTGATGAAAAGACCAGAGCTGAATAGAAAATTTGACTTTCAAATACAGGACTCAAGTGGAACATGAAGAGGTAAACAGGAAAGAGAAATCATAAGAGACTTATTAAGATTGAACTGTTTACATTCCTGCATGGAAAGATGATATTTATAACTCATGAGACCTTTGTCAGTATTAGGGTAGTTGGAGGAAAAAAATTATATGTATGTATATGTAGATAGATAGAGGGCACAGGGTGAGTTGAAGATTAAGGGGTCATATCTGGAGAATAAAATTAAGGGATGAGAGAGGATTATACTCGGAGAAGAAGAAAGGGAGAGGTAGAATGGGGTAAATTATCTCACAAAAAAAAAACAGAAAAGTCTCTTACAGTGGAGGGGAAACAGGGGAAGGTGAGAGGAATGAGTGAATCTTATTCTCATAGGATTTGGCTTAAGGAGGGAATAACATACACACTCAATTGGGTATGGAAATCTGTCTTACCCTACAGGAAAATAGGGGGAGAAGGGGACAAGAGAGCAGGGGATGATAGAGAGGGCAGATTGGGAAAGGGGTAATCAGAAGTAAATACTTCTGAGAAGGGACAGGGTCAAAAGAAAGAATAGAATAAATGGGAGGGCAGGATAGGATTAAGGGAAATAGAGTTAGTTTTTCACAACATGTCTACTATGGACGTGTTTTGCATAACTGCACATGTACAACCTATATTGAGTTGCTTGCCTTTTCAATGAGGGTGGGTGGGGAGGGAGGAAGAGAGAAAATTTGAAACCTAAAGTTTTAAAAACGTATGTTTAAAAAAAAAGTTTTCACATGCTACTGGGAAATAAGAAATACAGGAAATGGGGTACAGAAGTCTATCCTGCCCTACAGGAAAATAGAAGTGGAAGGGGATAAGAGAAGGGGGGAGAGATAGAAGAGAGGACAGACTAGGGGAAGGGATATTCAGAATGCATGCCATCTTGGGTGGGGGAGGGGGAGATGGGGTGAAAATTTGGAATTCAAAAACTTGTGGGAGTGAATGTTGAAAGCTAAAAATAAATAAATTTATATTAAAAAAAAAAAGAATTGCTCAGAAAAACGACTCTCCCAGGTTCCCCTGGAGGAGGTGTATGTGTGCTGGGGGCAGACTGTGAGAGTCTGTAATAATACTAAGTCTGGAAATGACCCCAGACCCACTTTCTATTCATTCATTCATTCACTTTACACCTGCAAAGGCTCTTCCCATTCTTTGGGCCCCGGACCCCTTGAGACAGATTGACTAGCCAGGCCGCTGGGCCCCTTCTCAGAATCATGATTTTAAATGCATTAAATAAAATGCAGAGAAATACAAAGAAAACCAGTTCTATGGAAATTCAGTTGTTCTACATATTTTTCCAAAGTTCACAGTTAAACCCCACCTCACATCAGCAGAGCCATAATCCAATCACCTCTTTGTACACATGGGGAAACTGAGGCCTGGAGAATGGAAGGAGTCTGACGATACCATTCAGCAAAGGCAGAATCAAATCTCCTGAGAGCCAGGTTTGCCACTGGCGTATGACCCACCCTCCAGGGACTTGGGAAGGAAGAAGCAATTCTGAGAGATCCAGGGCAGCTGGGTTCCCTGGAGGCTTTCCCCTTTATGTTCTTTTATATTTATATTCTCTTTATAATTATATGGGTATATTCATACATATAAAATAAATGTTACACACACATCCCTTGAGAACAGAGATTGATATATTCTTTGTAATCCAAAGTAGGCACTTAAAAATACTTCTTAGAGGTTCCTTGATTTTCCTGAAATATAATAGCAAAAATTATATATGTATATATAGGTATATATGTACATACATATATACCTATATAACTTCCAGTTATATATGTGTTTGTGTGTAACTGTAAATTTAACAAAACATTTTCCAAACATTTTCTCTGGGCCTCTAAAGCCCTCTGCTGCTTGGCTCCAACTTACCTTTCAAGCCTTATTATATTATATTATAATTTCCTTCATATATATACATATATGTGTATATATGTATATGTATACATATGTGTGTGTACATACATACATACATACATACATACATACATACATACATACATACATATTAGCCAAACTAGCCTTCTTGCTGGTTTCCCATGAAACACCCTATCTCCAATTTCTGTGTCTTTGCCCAGGCCCTGGAATGCCTTCTCCTCATCTCTGCCTCTCAGAATCCTTAGTTTACTTCAAAGCTCAGGCCTTTTACATGGCCGCTAGGTGGCGCCATCATGCACAGAGTGGGGGCCTGAAATTAAGAAGACTCCTCTTCCTCAGTTCAAATCTGACCTCAGAACCTTAGCTGTGTGACCCTTGGCAAGCCGCTTCACTCTATTTGCGTCAGTTTCCTCATCTGTAAAATGAGGTGGAGAAGGAAATGGCAGACCACTTCAGTATCTCTGCCGAGAAAACCCCAATGGGGTCCTGAAAGCTCAGCCACGATTGAACAATAGGCCTCTTATGCCCCTACTAGCGTTCCCTCCAAATTATATTGTATTTATTGTGCATATATTTTGTAAGCGGATAGAGAGCTGGCCTGGGTTCAAGTCCCACCCCTGACATCCCAGGAAGTCACTTAACCTCTCAAGAACTCTAGACGATTCCCCAAGACTACAACTTCACCAGGACATAAAAAACCCCAACACTGGCAGCGGGGTTTCCTACAGCACTGAAATCACAGTCCCTGTCCTTATCCTTATTTATTTATGAGGCAGCTGGGTAGTCCAGCCCTTGCAAGGCTTCATGCTCCCCTTGCCCCCCCCCCCATAGAAGGGAAGGTCTGGAGGACAGTGTAGGCTGAGGCTTGGCAGGAAACAATGGATGCTATGATAAGGGGCCAGGGGCTCAAGGGAAGAGGACAGGCTACAGCTGGTCTGGTCACCAACGGGTCAGGACCTCGAAGGGAAGAGAGTGGAGCCAGGTCAGGAGGGACGGCCTGGGAAATGGGGAGGGGCTGGGTAAAGGGAGAGATGAGATAACAACAGAACAAGGACTTTCAGCATTCCTGAATGTGGAAGCCGGACCCTTGTGGGTTATGACAAGATGGGCTACGACTCTCTTCATGGCCAAAGTGGAATAGAAGAGTGAGTTGCAGAAAATGAGTGACCCAGGACCTGGGAGGTCAGAGGGTCGGAGGGGGCAACCGTATGTATGTTCAAGCCCCTTACTATGAGAGGAAGAGTTAGGGAAGAGAGAAAACTTGTGAGCCCCAGACTGAACTCATTGAGGAAGGAAGGGGAGTGGCCTGGAGGTCTGTGGGCCACCAGAATCTTGATCAGGCAAGAAATATGGACGGAGAGATGTTCAAAGCATGGGAGTTCCTAAGGGATGGAGGTGGAGGGACAGCCGGGAAAGGGCAGTGGGAACTGGGAGGATTCCCAGACGAGTCACCCAGACTGGTGTTGGCGAGGGTGGGCAAATCAACTTTAACTAAGGAATAGGCATTCCAGAGAGCACAGTGAAAGGTGGGGAGCAGGCTTGAGTGGGATGGGAGAAAGGGAGTGGACAGTGGAGGCTGGGAATGGGGCTTGTACATGGACAGCTGGGAATTCAGAATCCCTAGGATGGACAGAGGATGGTGAGGTGGGAGAATGCTAACCATTAAGCAATGAGTTCAGGCAGGAAATGAGTCCAGTGACTGGAAAGAAGTCCACTGAGGGAGGCTGAGGATTGTCAGCTCCTGTCAGGCCCAGACGACAGGCAGTGCCCACAGGAGGCCCGAGCTGGCATCCCAGGCCAGTCTAATCTGGGAGTGGCCTCCAAGGCCTGGACTTGTGCCAGAAAGCTGCCCCTAGGAAGTCCCTGGAGAGGCTACAAATCCTATGGGCAAGCAGCACTCCCTAATTAGTCTTTCAAGATTTCCCCCAACCCCAATTCATTCTTGACACTGTTGCCAGTGATTTCTTAAGTGTCACTCCCCCCTCCACGCACCGGCTCACATAGGAACTTTCAGCACCCTTCCCAGCCCGGCCCCTTGCCCTAAATGCACTGCTCCCCTCCATCTCTCCCCCCCCCCCCCGTTTACACTTGCTGAACCCCACACCTGGAACGCTCTGGCTCTTCACCTCCCATTGTTGGCTTCCTTCAGGGCTTAGCTCTCATCCCCCCTTCCGTCGGAGGCCTTTCCGGATCCCCCGGCCACTCTCCCCTCTGAGAGTCCCATCTATCTAGCCCGTCTGAATCTTGCCCTTCACAAGCTGTCTCCTGCATTAGACTCGGAGCTCCCCTAGGACAGGGACTGGGCTTTGCCTCTCTCTGTATCTCCAGGACTCAGCCCCGTGACTGGCACGTGGTAGGCGCTTAATAAACCTCTGGTTATATGTTTTGCATGATTGCACGTGTATAATTCGTATCAAACTGTCTCAGGGAAGGGGGAGAGAGGAGGGAGGGAGAGCGGCCAGGGGTGGTGGAACAGGGTGCCTGCCGGCCCAGACGTGCCATGCTAAGTTGGGGAGGGCAGTCACCTCGGCTGGCCGCCGGGCCAGTTTCCGGCCTCAGTGCCCTTCAAAAGCCACCAGCGCAGGGAAAGAGGGGCTGCGATCTGCATCTCGGTACCCAGCCCCCTTACAGGTGCCAGCAAGAGGTGGAGGACCCCGGCCACCCCACCCCACCGCTGGGATGTGGGGGGAGGGGGAGGGGGACAGCTTCTCGGCGTGGGCCCGCCCAGAACTCGGGCTTTACCATCTTTGCCCCACGAGAGGGGGAGCAGGGTGGGGGGGAGAGGCTTCCCTGGCTACCGTTGAGTTCCCACAGCGTGTCCAGCTCCCATCTGTCACTCCAAGGACCGACCTCCGCCGCGGTCTAGGCAGAGAAGGGGGTCGGGCCAGCTCCCGGGGGCTGTTTCTCCGGCTCTCCTCCCTGGCCTCCCCCCGCCGCTTGCGAACAGTGGAGGCGCCCCACGGAACGCTGTGTAACTGTTGCTGACCGCAGCGTTCTAGTTCGGAACGCGGGCGGCGCCAACGTTCCATCCTCCGGCAGTGGTCTGCGGCGTCCAGGACAAAGCCGGGGCTGCAGCCATGGCGGTCAAAATCCATGTGGTTTACTGGTGAGCGGCTCTGGCGCTGGGAGATCCCCTCGGGGAAGGGTCTCCCAGCCCCCACCCACCCACGCCCGTGTGCACGGGAGCCTGTCCAGGAGAGAGCTCCTCCCTGGAACCTTCCAGGGGAGCCAAACTGGGGCGGCCTGTGAGGGGAGAGCTCAGGTTTGGGGAGAGGGTGCCGGAATCAGGAGGGGGTACACACCTTGCGGGGGGACTCCAAGCGGGCCCTTTTGTGGGGGTGGAGTGGGTTTGGAAGGGAATTTTCCCCCTCCCCTTCTTGCTGCATTGAATGTTTTCATCCTGACCGAGGTTTCTCTCTTCTCCCCCACCTTGTCTGATGCGTCCCCTACTAGCGGTGCCTGAGGTTACAAGCCCAAGGTCAGTGATGGGGGGGTGGGGCGGAGGATGGAGTCGGGGAATGATTCGGGAGGTTAGGGTTGTCCCACCCCGCTGTGGGATCATCGTCCCATCTTTTGCTCTATCTCAGTATCTGTTGCTGAAGAAGAAGCTAGAAGAGGAATTTCCGGGCCTCGTGAGCATCGTGAGTGTCTCGTGGTGGGTGGGTGTTGGGGGGAAGGGGGTGTCATGTAACAGGAAATCTCAGCCCCGGAGATTCCAGCCTCAGATGTCTGCTGGGCTGACGGATAGGCAGGGAAGCTTGCACCCCAGCTTACCATCCGGGAGCTTTGCGTTTTCACTCTGGTTCTGCCGGGCGGGGGTGGTACCTGGTAAATTCAGTGTCCCGAGCCACAGCTCCTGGGAACTTGCCCTAGTTACTGCAAACACCTTGCCCCAACCCACTTCCCACTATCCCAGGGCTGGGGTGGGGACGGTGGGGGGAGGGACATCGTGAAAGCCTCGGCCTCTTTCCTCCCTGCCTCCAGAATGGCGAGGGAACCCAGGAGGTCACGGGCTTCTTTGAAGTAACTGTTGGAGGGAAGCTTGTGCATTCCAAGAAGGTGAGTGGGGCTGCATCTGGGTCTTCCAGCCCCATCCCTCCTGTTTCTTCCTGGTCACTGCTTGGTGACCCGAGGCCAGCAGCTGCCTCCATGGCCGGGGGGGGGGGGGGGGGGGGGGGGGGCCTGTGCACAATGGAAGCATTGAGCTATTCGGCTGAGAGGAGCTGGGGGTGGGGGCAGCTCTGGCTCACCCCTTCTCTGCTCCCTAGGCTGGACATGGCTTCGTGGACTCCTCAGACAAATACCTGCATATTGTAGCGGAGATCAAGGCCGCCCTGGGCAAGTGAGGCCTGAAGGCAGAGGTGAGGGGCTCCCTGGGGCAGCCAGGCCAGGGATGGGCGGGCCCTCAGGACTGCCATTTCTGCTTCAGGACAAACTTGTCCCCTGACTGGAGGTGTGACCCTGCCCAAATGAAAGTGGGAGGTGGTCCCACTTTTCATGGCTCAGCCTTGAAATCTGGCCGCCCTAACCCTCCCCCTTCTTCTCTCCTTAGCTCAGGGGCCTTGTCCCTGTCCCTGCCCACGGTGCTTTATGACGGGAAGGATTGAAATGTTCTCTGGATTCCTGGTTCTTCCCTGAAATCCTTGCATCTGTTGGGCTGGGGCTGAGACGAATGCTCCTGGATCCTGCACTGTGTGTGTGTGTGTGTGTGTGTCTGTCCCTAGCTCCTTGTCCAAAGTCTCACTGTCCTATGGGTCCGTTAGACTCCTTCCGGATTCCTGCTTCTTCCTGCCCCAGCCGTCTCCCCCATCGAGGCCTCCTTTCCTCAGCCCCTCCCAGGTCCGTTGGGCTTTCCCTTTTCCCTGCTGGAGTGATGGCCCTCCTGTCCAGGCTCCTTGGTTCTCAGACATCTCTTCTGTAAAATGAGAGGGTGACAGCCTCAGAGTGGCCTTGTACATTGGAGGGGGCCCTTTCCCACCTTTACTGGGGATGGAGGGAGGCTCCCACCTGGCCTGGTGTGGCCCAGGAAGGCTCTTAGAAACAGTATTGTGCACAAGGGCTAATTAATAAATGGAAGAAATTAAATGTCGGTTATGTCTGTGACTCTGGTCTTGGGCTGGGAGAGGGGAGGCCGCTCCCGGGGTCTCCAGATTGAGAGGCTGGCCTGCCACCTTCCTTTGCCAGACCCAAAACAACAAGCGTGTACTGTGGGCTGGGCTACAGAAATGCAACTTGGCCCTCCAGGAGCTTACTGAGAGGATAGATCATGTGAAGGGACTGTATAGACTGAGATTATTTGAGGTCCCCTGACAACTGACAGGACTGGGAACTGCTTCCCAAGGGATGTCTCAGATGAGCGAAGCCTAGGAGGAAGCAAGGGCTTTTTCAGGTAAGGCAGAAGGGCATTCTTGGCAAAAAGCACAGCCTGGGCAAAGGCGTGGAGGTGGGAGATGAACTATTGAGGTTATCAAGGCTGGAATGTGGCAGGTATAAAGAGGGGAGTAATGTGAAGAGAGGTTGGGGAAGGCTGACTGGAGCTAAAATGAAGCGTTTGAAGGAGGAGGGGGATATGGGTTAGTATTTTATCTCAGAATAACGAGGGAGCCATTGACAGTTCTGAAGTGGGTGACTGACCTGGTCAGAACTGTATTTGATGAGGGTTATTCTGGCAGCTCTGTGGAGCAGAGATTAAGAGAGGATTCATTGGGGAATTGGGAGTGCAGTTTGGGGGGAGGGTGATGGGACCAGATCTCAAAGTTCTCTACCTAAACATGTTTTAGAATGGTGCTTTGACCACAATCACGTGGCTAGGTTTGAGGGGTGGGTACAGTCAGAAAGATCGGAGTTCAAATCTGGCCTCAGACAGTAGCTTGTGTAACCATGGGCAAATCACTTAACTGTGTTGACCTCTTCCCTCATCTGTAAAATGAGCTGGGGAAGGAAGTGGCAAAGACACTGGAGTGTCTTTGCCAAGAAAAACCCAAATGGAGCCGTGAAGAGTTGGACATAACTGAAAAATGTCTGAACAACAACCTGGTGGTGGAAGGAGTTTCCACACCAAAAGTCTACCCTTCCCAAAATCTCTCTCACACTCCTCTGTTTCTCTGTCTGTCTGTCTGTCTCTCCTCTCTCCTCTCTCCTCTCTCCTCTCTCTCTCTCTCTCTCTCTCTCTCTCTCTCTCTCTCTCCTCTCTTCTCTCTTCTCTCTCTCAAATGTGCTACATCCATCAGTTAACACCTTTTGTTTCAAGGAAAGACCCCTAAGCCTACAGACCCCTTCTCAGATTCATGTTTCGTTTGATTTGGTTTTTTTAAATCATAATTGAAGAAAATGCTGAACTCCAGTGAGACATTAGATGCAATTTTATTTTCCCATCCAAATTCATGGACCCTTTGAAATTTATGCACAAACCCCAAGTTAAAAATTCCTACTCTAGTATTGTGGAAACACAATCAGGAGAACACAAGATTTAGCAACTTCTACATTACGGGATCAGAGGGCTTGGAATATATTCCAGAGGTCAAAGGAGCTAGGACTAAAACCAAGAATCACCTCTCAACAAAACTGAGTGTAATCAGTGAGGGGGGAAAATTGACATTCAATGACGTGGAGGAATTTTGAGAAGCCAGAGCTAAATAGAAAATTTTACTTTCAAATACAAGACTCAAGAGAAGCATGAAAAGGTAAATAGGAAAGAGAAATCATAAGGGACTTATTGAAGTTAAACTGCTTACATTCCTACATGGAAAGATGATATTTGTAACTCATGAGACCTTTCTCATTATTACTGGAGGGAATATATAGACAGGGCACAGGATGAGTTGAATAAGAAGGGATGGTATCTAAAAAATAAAGCAGTGAGAGGATTATACTGGGAGGAGAAAGGGAGAGGTAGAATGGGGTAAATTACTTAACATAAAAGAGGCAAAAAGCTTTTACTGTGGAAGGGAAGAGGGAGGAGGTGAGAAAGAATGGGTGAATCTTACTCTCCTCGGATTTGGCTTAAGGAGGGAATAACATACACACTCAATTGGGTATGGAAATCTATCTTACCCTAAAGAAAGTAGGGAGGAAGGAGATAAGGAGGCAGGAGTGATGGAAGAGAGGGCAAACTGGGGGAGGGGGTAATCAGAAGCAAACACTTCAGGGAAGGGACCAGGTTAAAAGAGAATAGAGTAAATGGGGGGTGGGATAGGATAAAGGGAAATATAGTTAGTTTTTCACAACACAACTATTATGGAAGTGTTTTGCATGACTGTACATGTATAGCCTTTATTGAATTGCTTGCCTTCTCAATGAGGAGGTGTGGGGGAGGGAGGAAGGGAAAGAATTTGGAGCTCAAAGTTTTAAAAACATGTTAAAAATTGTTTTTACATGCAGCTGGGAAATAAGATACATAAGCAATGGGGTACAGAAATCTATCTTACCCTACAGGAAAATACAAGGGGATAAGAGAAGGGGGGGGTGATAGAAGGGAGGACAGATTGGGTGAAGGGGTATTCAGAATGCATGCCATCTTGGGGTGGGGGAAGGGAAGAGATGCGGAGAAAATCTAGAACTCAAAATCTTGTGGAAGTGAATATTGAAAACTAAAAATAAATAAATTTTTAAAAAAGAAAAAAAATTACTACTCTAGACCTTTGCCAGAAATTGAAATAGAATTCACTAGTCAAGTCTTCATAAAAACCACTCACTCCTGTTGTTCATAAATCAGAATGACATCTGACCTGGTCTGGTCCTCTCCAGCTCTCCCTTCCTCTGTGACAGTGCTCGGGGTTCACTTCTGCCTGTTGCTTCAGTGCCCAAAGTTATGGTGCACCAGGGCTAGGTAACACAATTCACTGAGGGAAGCTGGGGCTGTTTTAGTACCTCCTTACTTACTGGGCTACCTCCTCCCAGTGGGCCCATTTTTACCCTGCTCCTGTTCCAGTCCAGAGATCGTCTTCCTTGGCAGAGAAAACAGGGCAAATTAAAAAGTGAGCAGTTCTGGCTTCTCTCTGTTGTCCACCATTATTGTCCCATCCACCCAAGGGATATCTGGTCCTCTCCCCACTCCCATGCTTCTCTATCCACTTTTAAAATAATTTATTTTTCAATGATGATAAACATTCATTTTCTCTCCCTCCCACCCCTCCAATTGAAAAGAGAAAAACAAACCCTTGGGACAAATAGGCTTTGTTAAGCAAAACAAATTCCTACATTGTCCAGAAATGCTTCTCTTGGCCACACCCCAAGTGATAAGCCTTCAAGGCATAAGTGCACAGTATTCAAGGGAAGACAACCAAGCTAGCTACTACCATGTGAAAAAAAATGCTCAGTCACTAATAAAGTAAAGCAGCTCTGGGGTTCCACTCCAAAAGTTGACCCAAAAAGTGAAACAGACAAACATTGGTGAGTCTGTGGGAAAGCAGGCATGTTGCTGCCCTGTTCATTGGGGGGTACAGCTAGCTGTTAATTAGTCCAGCCATTCTGGAACTCTGCCCCCCAAATTATTAATTGTTCATGCCTCTTGACCCGCCCCCAAAGAGATCAAAGGAAGAAGAAAAGCACCCATACGTACAAAAATACTTGTAGAGGTACTTTTTATCACAGTGAAGAACTGGAAACTGAGGGGATGCCCATCAACTGAGGAATGGCTGAACAAGCTGTGGTATGTGAAAGTGAGAGAATACTTTTTGTGGTATAAGAAATGATGAAGGGGATGGTTTCAGAGAAGCTTCAGTGACTTGGCTGGCATCACACAGCCAGTAAGTGTCTGGATTGGAATTCAGGTCTTCCTGCCTCCAGCTGGACTCAGTGTTCTATCCTCTTTAGGCCTTATCTCACCAAATTAGTGACAACCACAAAATCAAGTTTATCTCCTTATTTTAGGATTAGTTCTTTTTGTCTATTAATAACCATACTTTGGGCATTTGTGTATAGACATCTGAAATCATGGGGTTTTGTCTCATGTTTCTCTCAGCAGCTGTTCTCCCTAGAGTAAAGCTACTCTGTATGGTATCTAGCCTGATAGAAATACATAGGTCTTTTCTTTTCAGTATAAAGCCCTTTTGGATTAGGTTTGCAAGATCACAAGCAAACATTCTTTGAAACCTTCTCTAGGTGCACTCCATCCCTGGCCAGGGAACTGCTATTCCCACATTTTAGGTCATGGTCCAGAAAATAATCCAAATCCCACTCTCAGATGTCACCTTCTTAACCAGATGTTCATTCCCTTCATCCTTCTCCCTCTTCTTCGGGCAGCAACCCACACGTGCACCACCACATGGGCCACTTAAGACCGCCAGTTTCTTGTCCAAGACTAGTCTTTGGCCATGCTGTGTTTCTTCAGACAGCACCCCTCATGTCTCCGTAAATAATCACAAGTAGCATCAGCTCTGCTCCGACAAGCTTGGGGAGGTTCTGTGCTGAGTCTTGGACCTGTGCCCCAGGAAGGCAGCAGATCTCTCCAAGTCTTCCCAGGGCAGAAGTCTTTCCCAAGGAATCACTGTACTCATACTTGCCAGAAGCCATTCCCGATGCCCGTCAAGGCGTTAGCCTTCCTCAGTTTACCCTGTCTACAATTTTTGGTTTTGTTTTTTGCATATGGTCTCCCTCACCAGACTCTGAGCTTCTTGAGGGAAGGGCCCGTTTTTTGGTCTTTCTTTATATCCCCCAGCCCTTAGCACAGTAGCTAACACAGAGACAAAAGGTGCTTCACACAAGTTTGAGTGACCGACCCACAGTGTGGCACCTGTGGACTTCTTTGACCATCCTCAGGAGACAAGCAGCCCTTTCCTCCTCAGGGCATCCTGCCCCCTCCTTTTCAGGCACTGTGCTAAGTCCTTTACAAATATTATTTTATTTGATCCTTACAACCACCCTGGGAGGGAGATACCCTTATTATTATTCCCCTTCTACAAATGAGGAAAGTGACTTGCCCAGGGTCACATAGCTAATAATCTGTGGCCAGACTTGAACTCAGGTCTTCCTGACTCCAGGCCTGTCAGATCTATCCAAAGAACCACCTACCCACCCTACCCCCTACAATGCAAATATTAACTATTATTATTTTATAGCCCTTAAAAGTCTGCAAAGTGCCTTACATTA